TATAGGAGGCGTACTATAGGAAGTGTACTATAGGAGGCGTATTATAGGAGGCGTACTATAGGAGGCGTACTATAGGAGGCATACTATAGGAGGCGTACTATAGGAGGCGTATTATAGGAGGCGTATTATAGGAGGCGTACTATAGGAGGTGTATGATAGGAGGCGTACTATAGGAGGCGTATTATAGGAGGCGTATCATAGGAGGCGTATTATAGGAAGTGTACTATAGGAGGCGTACTATAGGAAGTGTACTATAGGAGGCGTATTATAGGAGGCGTACTATAGGAAGTGTACTATAGGAGGCGTATTATAGGAGGCATATCATAGGAGGCGTACTATAGGAAGTGTACTATAGAAGGTGTATTATAGGAGGCATATTAAAGGAGGTGTATTATGGGAGGTGTGTTATAGGAGGTCCCCTGGCAGACTAGGCCTAAGTCAGCCTAACTAGGGGCTGGTACAAGGTAAGCCTGAGCCAGCCCTAACTAAAAGCTTTATCAAAGAGGAAAGTCTTAAGTCTAGTCTTAAATGTGGAGGCTGTGTCTGCCTCCCGGACCGAAACAGGAAGATGATTCCACAGGAGAGGAGCCTGATATAAACTCTCTGAGGGGTCAGAGGACTAGAGAGGACCTGTGCAGGTGCAGGTCTGTTCACCACAAACCATGTGTGTTTCAGTTCATGTGTAACTGTTAATAGTGAACACACAGTGTCTGTATCAGTGATTTATATTTGTGTGAAAGTCTCGTCCTTTCTTTTAAACACTGAGTCACTTTTCTTTTCTTTTCTTTTCTTTTCTTTTCTGACTCCTGAGCTGCTGAAACAGATTCATAAAGTCTTATTTCATTGGGAGTTACAAACAGCAGCTACATATCAATATTATTTTATATTAGAATATTCAACTGGTTCGTGTTTTTAGTTTATTTCAGTTATGACAGTGGAATCAGAAGGTTGGTGTCAGTGCTGTTACACTTCATCATTGCAGAGAAAATTTAAACGAGAGACATTTTTCTTCTTCTGTGGTGACGTGCTGACACCTGCTGGACTTTATACGACTCACAGGCTGATGTGTAACAAAAGAAAAGTTTATTTATTGTTCATACAGATAATGATGATACAGAAACCTTCACACTGTGTTTACACATGGACTCATTACAGGATCATTAATTTCCATCAGTATGAAATAAACTGGTGAAAGAAGTTCTCTGCTCTTTGACTGCAGTAACAGTACTCTGATACCACATCCACTCTCTTCACAGGAAACTGTCTGTATGTACATATTTATTTCCTGTTGTGCTGTCAGCAGTTCAACCAGTTTATCTTCTGCTGATTTATATCATTAACTTCATATTTTATTATGTTTTATAAATATTTAAATGACAGAGTCTGTGAGCAGAGTTTATTTAATGTCACCAGCTGCTCTTTGAACTTTGTTAATTTGACACTGACGAACTTTGAACCTTGAACCTTTCTGCAGGAACATTTCTATCTGACAAATGAACCATTAATGAATAATCATTAATGTTTGATATATGTTTCATATTATCTATATTTATATAATAAATTATTTTCTCTATCTGTGACGACACATCAGGACATGATCGTGATATTTGGACTTGTAGACATATTGACGTCCGACTGTTACCCACGGCAACAACAAACATGGCTGACAGTGAAATGATGATCAACTCTGCGGTGGTTCCAAAAAGAGGAGGAGCTTCAGTAGCGTGGAATAAACTGTGGCGTCCGCTCAGAGGGAACTCATTCAGCGGCTCCTCTGGCAGCAGCACAGTGATTCTGTCTCATTACAGCCTGATGATCAGAGATGTTTGATATATATATATATATATACTCTGTGGTACTAATACCACAGAGTACAGGTAATCAGTTACTAAAGTACTGTCATCAAAGTAAAGTACCTGCAGTAATGGTACTAATACCACAGAGTACAGGTAATCAGTTACTAAAATACTGTCATCAAAGTAAAGTACCTGCAGTAATGGTACTAATACCACAGAGTACAAGTAATCAGTTCCTAAAGTACTGTCATCAAAATAAAGTACCTGCAGTAACGGTACTAATACCACAGAGATGGTGGCATGGTGGTGCAGTGGTTAGCACTGTCGCTTCACAGTAGGAGGGTTCCTGGTTCCTGTGTAGAGTATACATGTTCTTCCTGTGTCAGTGTGGGTTTCCTCCAGGTGCTCCAGCTTCCTCCCACAGTCCAAAGACATGCAGGTTAATTGGTCTTCTCTTCTCAGGAAGATTTAGGAAACAAGATAAATGGATATGATGCTGCTCACTCTGTACAGCAGGTGGCGGTAAGTACATTAAAGCTGCTGTCGATCCTCCAATAAACCGAGAGAAGAAGAAGAGTGAACCCGGAAGTGAACAGAGACAGACTCGGAGCAACTTGTGTCTGCAGTTTGTTGTTATGAACTCATGTCGGACTTGTTTTCTCCTTAAGTGTTTAATGACTTTAATGATTTAAGAAGAATCTAGAACAAACCGAGCTCAGCTCATGTCCCCCGCGAGCCGCTTAGCATTAGCCGTTAGCCGCAGTTAGCCTCGGTTGTTGTTGAACGGGAGCAGCGGCGGCTGTTAGCCGGCAGGATGAGCTCCTCCGCGGGCCTGTACACTCAGCTGGCCGCCGTCATGGAGTCTCTGGTCCACGCTGCGGTGGCGGAGCTGAAGAAGCTGGTGGAGGACAGCTCGACCTGCCTGCTCCGCCTGGAGGTCCGGACCGGACAGGAGCCGCCTCTGCAGGCCGACAGCCGGGGGAAGATGGTGAGGAGCCGGGCGTCCCTGGGTGACGTGTAACTGCAGTAACGGTACCACAGAGTACAAGTGCTGTATTACTAAAGTACTGTCATCAAAATAAAATACCTGCAGTAACGGTACTAATACCACAGAGTACAAGTAATCAGTTACTGAAATACTGTCATCAAAATAAAGTACCTGCAGTAACGGTACTAATACCACAGACTACAGGTAATCAGTTACTGAAGTACTGTCATCAAAATAAAGTACCTGCAGTAACGGTACTAATACCACAGAGTACAAGTAATCAGTTACTAAAGTACTGTCATAAAAATAAAGTAGCTGCAGTAACGGTACTAATACCATAGAGTACAAGTAATCTATTACTAAAGTACTGTCATCAAAATACCGGTAGTAATGGTACTAATACCTCTGACCCTGTCAGATGCAGTCTGACCTCTGACCTCTGACCCTGTCAGGTGCAGTTTGCCGCGGTCATGGAGACTCTGGGGAACGAGGCTCTGGGGAAGATGATAAACATTGTGGATGAAGCCAAACTGAGGGCGGAGCCAGAACCAGGCAGGGGCGGAGAGAAACCACAAACCAGCGTCCTCAAAATCTTCAGCGAATCACGGGTTGGTATGTACACAGGCCCCGCCCCCTGCCAGTCAGCCACACCAATCAGGAAAGCTACCATGTGATGATGTCATACTAACATGAGGTGTTGTTTCTCTGTCACAGAGGCAGAACATTCGTATGGAGTCCAATCAGAGAGCTCCAACACACACAAATCCACTCAGGTAAGACTCACCTGCTCATCAGTGATGCGTTCACTGACCTGACTGTGACGTCTGTACGTTGTGTCCCTGCAGACAGATCCAGAGGAGGAGATGGTCACCGTGAAGGAGGAACTTGATGACATCGACCAGGAAGGAGACGCTGAGAGTGAGTACCTGATCAATATCTGTCAGAGAGGAGAGCATCAGAGTCACACATTAAGTCCCCGTAATAGTAATAATAATAAAATGGGGGGCGAGGTTATGGATGGCCTTGAATGTGTAAAAGAGAATTTTGAAGTGAATCCTGAATTTAACCGGAAGCCAGTGAAGTTGCTGGAGGACAGGGGTGATGTGGTGGAATGAGGGGGTTTTGTTGATGATACGAGCAGCGGAGTTTTGGACCATTTGAAGCTTATGGAGGGACTTGTGAGGGAGACCAAAGAAGAGAGAATTGCAGTAGTCGATGCGGGAGGTGACAAGGCTATGGGCAAGAATAGAAGTGGTGTGGGGGCTGAGGGACCTCTGTCATATCTTCATTCCCTCCTGTACGTCCACCTGTCCTCACCATCTGTCCTCCTGAAGGTCTGAAGCCTTCAGATGTTCTGCGTCTACATTCACAGCTCGTTCTGACATGTGACATCAAACTTTGGCTTTTGCTTGTTTAATGGCTCAGATGATTATTAAACCGTCAGAACAGGTGCTGGTTAGTTAGTGTTAGTTTTGTGCCGGCTGACTGATCTTTGCAGCTCTGACGGTTTGTTTTTCTCCTCCAGGAGCTCCAGTAGAAGCTGCCGAGCCGGTGACCTCTGACTCTCAGCCGCAGCCGGAGTTCGTTCTGCAGAGCGTCACGTGGAAATACTTCACATGCACTGCGTGTGGTAAATCCTTCACATCTCAGAGCAGCCTGAAGTCTCACTACCGCATCCACACGGGCGAGAAGCCGTTCTTCTGCGGCGTCTGCGGGCAAGATTTCCGCCGGCGGCAGAGCCTGAAGAACCACGCAAGGACACACACAGGCGAGCGGCCATACAAGTGTCCGACCTGTGGCAAGGGTTTCTCCAGCCACACCACAATGAAGACGCACTCCATCATCCACACGGGAGAGAAACCGTACGGCTGCGAGACCTGTGGACGCCGCTTCAACGTGCTGCAGAACCTGCACCGCCACCTGCTCACCCACACCAACAACAAGGTCTTCGTTTGCGGCGTCTGTGGGAAAGGCTTCACCCGTGCCGTCACGCTCAAAAATCACGAGCTCACCCACAGTGGGGAGAACCCCTTCAGGTGCCAGCAGTGTTCCAAAACCTTCTGTGATGCCGTCAACCTCAGGAACCACCAGAGGATCCACACTGGCGAGCGTCCGTTCAGCTGCCAGGAGTGCGGTAAGGCCTTCAGCTTGCGGAGCAGCCTGATCTCACACCGCCGCTCACACTCCACAGAGCGGCCGTTTGCCTGCAGCTACTGCGACAAGACGTTCAACATCGCCCACAGCCTGAAGCTGCACCTGCGCACCCACACCGGTGAGAAGCCGTACGCCTGCGACCTCTGTGACAACAAGTTCAACACCGCCAACAGCCTGAAGCTGCATCGGCGTGTCCACACTGGTGAGAAGCCACATGCCTGCGACATCTGTGGCAGGATGTTCAACAACCCCAACGGCCTGAAACTGCACCTGCGCGTCCACACCGGCGAGAAGCCGTATGCCTGTGACCTCTGCGGCAAGACCTTCAGGCAGGACAACCACCTGAGGACACACAAGAAGCTGATCCATGCTGGCGGCAAGCAGGTCATCTGTGACGAGTGAAGGAAGAGACACCAACATCAGCACAACCTGACGCCGCACACATAAGGCTATGTGTGAACGTGACCTCGTGTGATTGGACGAATAAAATGTGCAGTTTTTTAACGGAACAGTGACCTATTTGGTCCTGAGTTCAGAGCCACAGTGACAGGTTGGCTTGTTGGACGCTCATTTTTGGTAGAAAGCAGTCGTTAGTTTTACACCTTTGATGTGTACCGTTACATCTTTTATTGTTTGTTTAACAAACACTGTTTGTCATAAATCATGAGTTAGCGTTAGCGTGGAAACCTAGCTGACTGATACATCCAGGAAAGACATAGAATGATGGTTTTTTGCTAGCACTGAGTTTGTTGAACGTTTATCAGACCTCAGATGAGATGAATTAGCGAACCTGTACACTGTGTGGTCCGTCTGCCTCACTCCCACCCTCTACGACACTACTTCCCTGGGACGAGAGCAGACAGCAGCTCTGGAGACAGACTGTCAGTCAGCAGCTTCTCGAGAATGCCTTGTGGGAATGAGATTATCTTTGGCACAAACGTCCACTTGGACTGAAGAATAAACTAATTAGTATTTGGTGGTCAAAGGTCACTGTGACTTCACAAACCATGTTTTTGTCCATTCATATGCTAATTATGATAAAACTTGACACAAAGGTCTAAAATAATGAAGGTCAAAGGTCAGCTTGACTGTGACATCATCATGTTTTAACGTCATATCTCAGGAACAGAAGGGGAGACATATGGTCAGATACTGAATTGGTGACTCTAATCTTGAAACTGTGCTGATTGTATAGATCTTGAACTGCCAGAGACACTGGACTGGTGGGCGGAGTCATTCAACCACAGAGCGGTGACTTTAGCTCTCGCCTGCCTCCAGGGTGAATGAAGAATCCCAAAAATAACGACCATGTTTAACAGCAGCTCAACTGATCCAGGTCTCATTTTTCCAGTCGATTCAACACAAACTTTTTTCACCAGAATCTCACCATAAAAAACACGACCACATAAACGGTCTCACAGGTGAAACATTCTTAAAGTTTAGTCACAGTCAGTTCACCTGTTCACAATAAAAACATTTAATATATGTGAAAAGTTACAAACTGAACCTTTAACTCTTTAACTGAAACGTGTCCACTGAGTTCTGCAGAAATAAGCCTGTGACTTTGTCCCGCCTTCAGCCGCCCTCTGATTGGATGATTCTTAAAGCAAAGCTTTCTGGGAGCTGTAGTTGCCCTCTCTCCTTTAACCTTTCCTTATTTCCTCCAAGGAAACTGTAAATAAATCCTTTATAGTTTCTTTGATTTCATCTGATGTTTGAACCTCTGAATTTGGAACAAATGACCTCACCTGATGTAAGCCCCGCCCACTGACATGCTGTGTTCTCATTGGTTTAAACCATATATCTGAGTTATGCTGTGTTGTTGAAATTGTTTGTAAATATTTACATATGCACATTGTTTTTCTTACTGTTTAGACTCTGTTTTTCATTTGTTTGGAAAATAATAAATGTAGAAACGTGTGTCAGACATCATGTGGTCACATGACACCTCTGACATATTTACTGTGTCTGATGTTGATTTAATTTATTAGTCTATCATCTATATTTAACCTCATGAGTCTTAAAGAAAATAAAACATTTTATTCATAAGCTCTGTAACACCAGTTTTTATTGTTGAGTTACAACAGTGTGTAAAACAGCTACAGTCAGTTTAGAACATAATATAAAGTTATGTCTTTACAACACATTTATCAATAAGATATTACAGTATAAATATGAATATATACATACAGTTAAAGACCAAATAAAGCTAGAAATATAATATTTGATATATATTTTGACCATGTAAAAAAACATACAAATCAGACAGAAATTATGAAAGCAAAATGTAAAAATCAGTTGTCAGTTCATAGTTTGATTGAAACATCTGAAAAGGAGCAGGAGGAAATATAAACTTATTAAATCCCATCTCCTTCATAAGAAACAAAGCTTCCTCCTCAGACTTTAATAAATATAGTTTTTATTACCATTTAACTTGGTCAGACAAAAATAACCCATGTAAATATAGAATTTTAATGACTAAATATCTATCATATAAGATAGACAGGTTCATATTTACATGCGTTATTTTTGTCTGACAGTGTATAATATAGATTACCATTATCGCTGACTTATGAATATAAACCAGTCTAAATGTGTCATATATGTCACCACTATAAATATTAATATTATATATATAGCTTAATCAACATGATCTATCTTAATATATCTGAATAATTATGATTTTACAAAATCTGAATATACATAATTCTTCAGTTTATACTTAAAATAATTTAAAAAAATAAAACAGACATGTTTTCTTCAAACATCTGCAGTAAGATAAAAACAAAATAAAACCGTTTAAATCAGTATATCAAAACAGTCTCTGAATGTAACTCTTCTCTGTACTTTAGGGACTGTTCGTTACTTATGAGCGGGTGGTGCATAATGAGGGAGCCATGTCAAATATGTTTTAAGCACTGAGCATTGAGTTGTGTTTTTATGTTGGCTGGGGGGGCATACAGATTTAAATGGTTTTATTTTGCATTTATTTTACCTCCGATTCAAAGAGCCCTCCTCTGATAAGTAGAGAACAGTCCTTTAAAGGAATTAACAGGGACACGAGGACACTAACAGCTGGGGGCGATAATGCTCCGCCTGGATGGAAGTCACCGTTAAAAAGAAGAAAAAGAAGAAGAGTGAACCCGGAAGTGAACAGAGACAGACTCGGAGCAGCGTGTGTCTGCAGTTTGTTGTTATGAACTCATGTCGGACTTGTTTTCTCCTGAAGTGTTTAATGACTTTAATGATTTAAGAAGAATCTAGAACAAACCGAGCTCAGCTCATGTCCCCCGCGAGCCGCTTAGCATTAGCCGTTAGCCGCAGTTAGCCTCGGTTGTTGTTGAGCGGGAGCAGCGGCGGCTGTTAGCCGGCAGGATGAGCTCCTCCGCGGGCCTGTACACTCAGCTGGCCGCCGTCATGGAGTCTCTGGTCCACGCTGCGGTGGCGGAGCTGAAGAAGCTGGTGGAGGACAGCTCGACCTGCCTGCTCCGCCTGGAGGTCCGGACCGGACAGGAGCCGCCTCTGCAGGCCAAACTGCAGGCCGACAGCCGGGGGAAGATGGTGAGGAGCTGGGGGTCCCTGGGTGACGTGTAACTGCAGTAACGATACTTACACCACAGAGTACAAGTGCTGTGTTACTAAAGTACTGTCATCAAAATAAAGTACCTGCAGTAACGGTACTAATACCACAGAGTACAAGTACTCTGTTACTAAAGCACTGTCATCAAAATAAAGTAGCTGCAGTAACGGTACCACAGAGTACAAGTACTCTGTTACTAAAGTACTGTCATCTAAATAAATTACCTGCAGTAACGGTTCTAATATCACAGAGTACAAGTACTCTGTTACTAAAGTACCGTCATCTAAATAAATTACCTGAAGTAACGGTACTAATACCACAGAGTACAAGTACTCTGTAACTAAAGTACTGTCATCAAAATAAAGTACCTGCAGTAATGGTGCTCAGTCAGCAGAATAATCAATCTGATGATATTGATTCCTGAATATGTTGATCAGTTTAATGACCTTATATCCTGCTGGGTAGATTCATCTATAATCAAACATCATCATTGATTACTGATCATCTCTTCAAGACTGTCCAACATCCTCAGACTGAACGGATCAAATCCTGGAAGAGAAACTGATTTACAGACGTCTTTTTTCTCCTCTGTGTCAGTCTGTGGGAAAAAGTCTGTTTGGTCTGACGGCGCCACGTCACTGACCTGGAAGTTGTTTTTACACTGTTTGACCTCTGACCCTGTCAGGTGCAGTTTGCCGCAGTCATGGAGACTCTGGGGAACGAGGCTCTGGGGAAGATGATAAACATTGTGGATGAAGCCAAACTGCTTGTGGAACCAGAGTCAGGGAGGGGCGGTAAGAGACCGCAGACCAGCGTCCTCAACATCCTCAACAACACACGAGTTGGTATGTACATAGGCCCCACCCCCTGCCAGTCAAACACACTAATCAGGAAGGCCATCGTATGATGATGTCAGACTAACATGAGTTGTGGTTTGTCCATCACAGACGCTGAACACTCGTATGGAGCCCCACCGGAGAACGCAAATATAAACAGATCCACTCAGGTAAGACGTTTTAAGTGTTCTAAAGTGAAACCTACTAAAATCTCTGAGTTTGAGTTTTGTGCGCTCTGTCATCTCTAAATTCACATGTGAAACCATTGTTATACATCTGGAGTGCTTCTGCAGGACCACGTCTGTCCTATAGCCAAAATACAAGGGCACAGATGTGTCTATCACAGCATGCCCTCAGTGCCTCTGGGGAACCTCAACACTCACATAGACAAATATAGAGAAACCTGGAGGGGGTGATTGGGAGGAACAGCCTGCCTGATCTGAACCTGAGTGGTGGTGTGTTGTTGGACTTCTGAGCTGTTTGTGGATTGGCCGTAATGAAGACCATGTTCGAGCACCGGAAGGTTCATTAGTGTACTTGGTACCAGAACACCTGAGGCCAATGATAGATGATCGACTTTGTGGTCGTATTATCAGACCTGGGTGAAGAGAGGAGCAGAGCTGTCAGCTGATCACCACCTGGTGATGAGTTGGATCAGATGGCTGCTGGACAGACCTGGTAAACCCAAACATGTAGTGAGAGTGAACTGGGAACGTCTGGCTGATGCCTCTGTCCACGATCCATCCTGGGTGAGGCTGGGGACATGGAATCTGAGTGGGCCATGTTCAAAGCCTTCTTTGTGGCTGCTAAAAGTTGTGGTCAGAAGGTTGTCCAAGCTAAGAACCCACTGGTGGACACAGCAGTAAAGGAGGCTGTCAGGCTGGAGAAGGAGGTCTTTTGGGTCTGGTTGGCAAAGGGGTCTCCTAAAACAGCAGGCAGGTAGTGGTTGATCAGAAGGGCTGTGTGGCCGTGGTGGTCGCTGAAGCAAAAACACAGGTTCGGGAGGAGTTGGGGGAGGCTATGGAGAAGGACTTTCCTCAAGAAGGTTCAGGCAAACCGTTAGACACCTCAGGAAGGGTAAGCAGGGCTTGTCTCAGGCTTTGAGGAAGTCCTGAATTTGGCCATCACATTCTATGTGGAGGTGGTAGAGTCTGAAGATTTGGGGGAACTCTTGCCCATATCCCTGATAGAGCCTCTTGGTAGCAAGGCTCCAGGTGTGGATGAGATTCACCCTGAGATGCTGAAGGCACTGGACATTGTTGGAATGTCTTGGTTGACACACCTTTTCAGTGTCACATGGAGGTCGGGTACAGTGACTGTGGAATGGTTCTCATTTTTATAAAAGGGGACTGGAGGGTGTGCTCTAATCTTTGGGGTGTCACACTGCTCGGCCTCCCTGAGAAAATTAATTCCAGGATGCTGGAGAGGAGACTCTGACCGATTGTTGAACCTCAGATTCAGGAGTGGAAATGCGGATTTAATCCAGGCCCTTCCAAGAACTGTCAGAGATCTTGTCCAGGCTCCTAAATGTTTTTTCTGCCACTGTTTGAATCTGGTGGTGTTTCTTAAAGTCAAGGAAGAATCCCTAAACAAATTTCAAGAAGGCTGCGCCATCGAATCCCACCAAAAGACTGCTCCAGTGTCAAGAATCCTTCGAATTCCACCTAGGTCAGAGTCCTTCCATCAGAGTATTCTTAAGGATGCATGTTTGTATCCTCAGCAGGCATGAAGTACCCACAATTCTTTGAGCGCGATTTGCTGGAATTGAAGGCGGAGCCTCTTCACTGACGCACCTGGGCACTCACTTGCCTGTTCCAATGTGTGTTCACCGAATGTTAGGAAGAAGTCTTGCCTAACCTCTGTAGGACCCAACTAGGAACGACCCATCCTGTCAATGAAGCATCCTTGACTGTAAGGGTTGTCCCTTCCAAGGTAAATCGATACTGGTAGGCCACTCTTCCCCTCTCCAGGACCAGAGTGGGACGTGGCTGGTTAAAACTCCCATTTGCTCATGAGATGAGCCGACGAGCCCCTGAAGGAATCTACTGCACCCAGGAATGGGTGTTACCATCATTGTTGGTCCATGATTCTTTTATGGGGGATCTGATCCAGACATGGGGACTCTACAATCCAACTCTGCTGACTTGACAATCAAGTTCATGGCCAGTGAAAGGCTCAGACTTTATTTGGTCTCGTAATCTGGCAAACTTTCATTCTGATGGAGTAAGAGGATATTTACCCTGACCGATTCCCGGCTGGTGCCTGGCCTTAAGTTTCTTCTGCCGTCTAATTAAATTGTCTCTGTGAAGTGTTGTGCTGGCTCAGACTGGTCTATGTGAATGTCTGTGTGAATATTTGACCCTTAGGTTTAAAATAATTTGTTCTTCAAATGCTTGAAATGTGTCATTACAAGAGAGAGTGACATCTGTACATTGTGTCACTGTAGACCAAACAAGAGGAGGAAGAAAACCTGTTTGTCCCGGCAGTGACCATTAAAGACGAGCATGGCAACATTGACTTGGGAGCCATTGCTGAGAGTGAGTACCTTATCAGTACCTGTCAGATCTGATCACTATCTGTCAGACTTCAGTTTAATCACAGTTTGTGTTTCTCCTCTAGGAGCTCGAGTTGAAGCCGCCCAGCCGGTGACCTCTGACCTCCAACTGCAGCCGGAGTTTGTTCTGCAGAGCGTCACATGGAAATATTTCATGTGCACAACGTGCGGTAAATCCTTCACGTCTCAGAGCAACCTGAAGTCTCACTACCGCATCCACACGGGTGAGAAGCCGTTCTCCTGCAGCGTTTGTGGACGAGATTTCCGCCGGCGGCAGAGCTTACAGAGCCACGAAAGGACGCACACCGGTGAGCGGCCGTACAAATGTCCGACCTGTGGCAAGTGCTTCTCCAAGCAGACACAGCTGAAGACGCACTCCATCATCCACACGGGAGAGAAACCGTACGGCTGCGAGACCTGTGGACGCCGCTTCAACCTGCTGCAGAACCTGCACCGCCATGCGCACACCCACACTGGCAAGAAGATCTTCATCTGTGGCATCTGTGGGAAAGGCTTCACTCGTGCCGTCACGCTCAAAACTCATGAGCTCATCCACACCGGGCAGAAACCCTTTAAGTGCGAGCAGTGCCCTAAAACCTTTCGCCACGCCGTCAACCTCAAGAACCACCTGAGGATTCACAGTGGCTTGCGGCCATACAGCTGCGACCTCTGCGGGAAGAGCTTCCGCCAGTCCGTGAACCTCAAGATCCACCGGAGGATCCACACCGGCGAGCGTCCATTCAGCTGCCCAGAGTGCGGCAAGACATTCAGCCAACAGAGCAGCCTGATCTCACACGGCCGCACGCACTCCAAAGAGCGGCCGTTCGAATGCAACTTCTGCGACAAGAAGTTTAACAACTCCAACAGCCTGAAGCTGCACCTGCGTGTTCACACCGGTGAGAAGCCGTACGCCTGCGACATTTGCGGCAAGACCTTCAGCCAGGGAAGCCACCTGAGGACACACAAGAGGCACGTCCACGCCGGCGGCAAACAGTTCATCTGTGACAAGTGTGGGAAGAGATACTCGGACCAGCGTAACCTCAAGCTGCACAAGTGCAGCTACGCATGAATGTGACCTCATAAGAGCTGCAGCCGTAGACAGAAAATTTGTCTGCAATTATTTTAATTATCAAATAATTATTGTAGTCATCTTTCAAACAACACTTCAACACTAATAGAAGTTTTACGGTAATATGGATATTCTGGTCAGTCCTACCTGAAATGGATCAAACACCATTTGAAGACGTGGCATTGAATCACACAGCAGGCTGTGTTTCATTATCGACAGTCTGTTTATCGACAAAATGATTAATTGAGGAAAATAATTTGCAGATGAATTAATAATTAAATACATTTTTAGCTGCAGCTCTGAAACGTGAACATTTACAGTTTCCTCAGTTTGGGAGTTGGAGACAGAAAAACTTGAATGTTATTAATTAAAGTTTTGTTGAGGAAAGAGTTTACTTAATTTATTTTGAATTGTTGGGGGTATTAGACAGGAAGTGGATCTGTTTGGCCAATCAGAGCTCGTGGGTGTTAAAGTGGGCGGAGCCTCTGATTCAAGTTCCTTATGAACAGTGATCTGACTGATCCTCCACACTCATCACAGCATCGTATTTTCATGAATACAATGATTAACCTTTAACTTTGTCCCGCCTTCAGCTGCCTGGTAACAGAGTCTGAAGCTCTCTGATTGGATGATTCTTACAGTAAAGCTTTTTGGGAGTTGACTTCTATCCTGAAACTTAACTTTTTCTTCTGATTTTTTTTTTTTAGCATCATAAAGACAATACAGATAAAAGCAAATGATGTCACCAGGAGATCTGATCAGAAGTCTTGTATCAGATCAGGAGACGTGACGCAGGCACAACAGGTTCAGTGTTTTTGCCACTTTCTGATTTTTTGAGAACAGAATTAATTGGATTTATTGTTTGAGCTGAAATCAAACATCATGAAGGAGGGTTTATGAGTGGAAAATTTTGGTTTATGAATGTGAGATTTTGCAAGTAAAAGAATGAAATTGATGATGTAATATTGATCTGCTTTGGTAGAGAAGTCTGTAAAAACACTAAATGCATTTTCATAAAGATGGGAAAATTTAGAATCAACATTCTGGGAAATAAAAGACATGTTGCCAAAACACAGAGCTGTGGGGACAAAACTACAACAGGTTTAAATCTTCTGGAATCAGTTGACAAAATGTGCGGACATTCGTCATCTTTATACCTTGTGATGTTTTTCAGCCACTGAATATGGAACAAGTGATGTCAGTGGCTCCGCCCACTGAGATGCTGTCTTCTGATCTTCTGATTGATTGAAACCTTGAATCTCAGTCATGTTGAAACAGTGTGTAAATGTGTTCATACGCACAGTGTTGCTTTTTATAATTTCATAGATTCTATTTTTCATTTGTTTGGAAAATAATAAAATCTGCAAATTCAATGTGTTCAGCCTGAAGGTGTGGTCACATGGCCACACGGTCACATGACACCTCTGACATGTTCACTGCATCATGTTGATTTAATCCAGAATACACACACAACACACATTAATTTAACTTTATAGAAGATATTTGGCCTGATCTGTTCTAAAGCTTCAATTAAAATATTTTATACACAAAATCTATAAATGAACACCAGGTTTCTTTATTGTATTTAATTCCAACAGGAGCATAAAGTCAGTACAGATCATAATATAAATTCATCCTGTCTTTACAGCACAGGTATAAATAATGAATATGTAGAATATATTTAAACATTATACAAGTAAAACAAACTAATTCAGGGTTAATATACAAAAACACCAACTACTGAGAAAAAGATTTGTATTTGAGGGCCAATAAAAATAAATTTGTTAAAAGTTTTGAGAAGATTTGGCTCAATAATTTAAAAATACAGTTCAATAAAATATTCAACAAAATAAAAAAATGTAAATGATATATTTTATTCAATAATTCAGAATTTTTTGATTTATTTACAGTAAATAAAATGTGTTATAATCTCCATCAGGGCGACAAACCCTGATTAAAATAAATAAATAAATAAATAATAATAATAATAATAATAATAATTTGTATTTATTTTTATTTATTTTATTTTATTTAAATATTAACAATTTACAAATTATGTCAAACAATAACATATAACACAATACATGAAAGCTGTTTCACGTACAAAAAACAAAAAGTCAAAGAATAAATAAATTTCCAAAATACATTTCCAAGATCTCAGATAAACCTTTGCATTAAATGAAAATTAAATAATAAATAACAAAATAAATAAATAATAATAACACATCAATAATTCAATATCGTTATGTCATCACATAAATGAATTTAATGATCTCTATAATTATTAATTTCACTAAATGTCGGGGAGTTCATCAAATACCTTTTCATAGTTAAAAAATAATGATAATAATAATTAAAATTCTCGGACGTGTTGTGTCATGTGACCTCCGGCCGCTGGGGGCGCTGTCTGCTCGGGGATCAGTGCGTCATAGTGTTTCCGGGTTGTAGGTGTGAACCAGGTCCTCCGGTGATCACACGTGTGGAAACAAACTGAGACTTTCCACCAAAACACACCGACACTCTCCTCCACAGTGACCGAGGAGAGGACAACGGAGTTCGGCCTGAACCTGCGCAGTGACACGGAGACTCTGAGCCGCCATGGGTCCGGTAAGTTCACACCTGACTCCAGACTCCAGACAGTAAATGTAAAATTGTCCCAGTCTCAGATCTGATGTGATCAACAGAGGTTAAGTTATTCACTGAGTAATTTCAGTCTTTGTGATGAATTCATCTTCTGACTCATGATCCAGAGAGATGATTATTATTATTGTTATAATTCATGAACTCAGAGTCTCTCAGCTGCAGACAGTCTGTCCTCAGGACTCTGAAACAGAAACTCATCAGCTGCTGAAGGTTAATCTGTGACTCTGTAGTCTGTAATCTGTAATCTGTATTCTGATCCAAATCAGTAAATCAATAAAACTGAGACTGATTTAATTTGGACATTTTAAAGACACTAAATTACACAAACATCAATAAAAGTTACAGCTTTTATTCTGAAATGTTGTTTAGAAAAATAAACAGATGTTTATTTGACTTTGACTCCTTCCTCCCTCCTGTCCAGCCCCGGTCGAAGAAGCGGCGCCCGACGTTCCGTCGCCTGTTGAAGACGAGCGACGTGAAGCTGGAGAACAAGATGAAGAACCGTCAGATGAAGCAGCAGAACGTCGCCAAGAAGCAGCGCAAGGAGCAGAAGAAGCTGCGGCAGGCTGTGAAGGAAGCCGCCATCAGGACGCCACGCCCACTGGAGACGTACAGGAAGAGGCCTGGTGAGTGCAGCTGAGTCAGGAGGACTTTGTTCCCCACAATGCACCTCTGTGAGTCTGCTCTCACCTGATGACTGTCTCTGACAGAGGAAGAGGAGGAGGAGGAAGAGTTCCTGGAGACGCTGCCCACAGACATGATGGAGGATGATGACGTGGAGCAGATGACCGCTTTGGCTCGCCAGGCGTCCTTCATCACCAGAGACCTGTCGTCATGGTAACACACACACACACACACGCACACACACAGATCAGGATGTAGATGTCAAACGCACACAGAGACTGATGTGAGTTTGTTTCGGTGGGCGGGGCGTCTCAGCGGGCCAGTGCACGGCGGGAAGAAGAGGAGCGCTGAGGTGGTCCGGAGTTACGAGAAGGTTCCGAGGAAGATGGCGAGGACGGAGGAGAAGGAAGTGATCCACCTGCTGCCGATCAAAGACAAGAGAGGAGTCATCCCACAGAGCGTGGAGAGAGGTACTGATCGCTGTTATTGATCCTCTGATCGGTCTGATCGGTGACCAGCTGACTGAGCGTCTCTTCTGTTGTCTCTGAAGCTGTCACAAAGAAGCCGGAGGAAGAGGAGGAGGAGGAGGAGGAAGAGGAGGCTGCTGAGGAGCAGGAGGAGTCAGAAAACGGTAACCTGTTTGTCTCACTCAGATTCCCACAATGCACTGCGTCTCCTCTGAGTCAGACTGCACACTGTTCAAACGGCGCTTTATGAAGTTTGAATGTTTTTAGGGGAGGATGTGACCAAAAGAAAAGAGAGGTCAGACCAGCCGTCAGTCATGTGATGTGGTCATGTGATGAGTGTCCTTCTGTGTCCTCCTGAACAGAGGGGGAGCCAGAGAGCTCAGCAGCACTGACGGCGGAGCAGAGAGAGACGCTCAGACTTCACAAGATCAACCAGAAGAAGCTTTGCATCGCCAGCCTGGGGTCAGCCGTCATGTCCGACCCCTACAGCAACGTAAGAGAGCACCGCTGATCTGAGGTCAGACATGCTGTGTTTACAGGCGCAGTCTGATGATGTCACTTCCTGTGTGTGTGATCAGATAAAGCGGGTGAAGGAGCTGCGTGGGATGCTGATGGAGTCGGACCCCTCTGTGGCGGTGACGGTCAGGAAGCTGGTGATGGTTTCACTGATGGAGATCTTTAAAGACATCACCCCCACCTATAGGATACGACCTCTGACCCCTGAGGAGAAGGCCGCCAAGGTAACCACCGTGTGTGTGTGTGTGTGTGTCTGTGTTTGTGTGTCTGTGTTTGTGTTTCCGTGTGACTCAGGAGTCCTGTATCTGATGTGTGTCCTGCAGGTGAAGAAGGAGACGCAGCAGCTCCGAGAGTTTGAAGAAGGTTTGGTGAGTCAGTACAAGTTTTACCTGGAGGACCTGGAGCAGACCATCAGAGGTACACAGCTACAGCTACACACACATCACAGCCACAGCTACACACACGTCACAACCACAGCTACACACACACATGTGATGACAGCATGTACAGGTGTCACGTCAGCATGTTCACCTGTCACCTGCAGACTGGAAGCAGAAGAAGAAGAAGCGCAGTCAGGCGGTTGGTTTCCAGTCGTACCGCGGACTCGCCGAAGTCGCCGTTCGCTGCCTGTGTGAGCTGCTGCTCGCTCTTCCTCACTTCAACTTCCACAACAACATCATCGTCGCCCTCGTCCCGCTGATGAACGACCCCGTCAAACAGGTGAGACTGCTGTCAGGTGTCAGATGTGCGGTGTAATGCGTTAAGGTGTCAGGTGTGTGATGCGTTCATGTGTCTGTCACAGGTGTCAGGTGTGTGCTGTGATGCGTTCAGGAAGCTCTTCCAGCAGGACAAAGAGGGCGGAGCTTCACTGGCGGTCGTACGAGTCATCTCGGGTCTCGTAAAGAGTCTCAACTATAATGTCAGACCTGAGGTAATGAATCAAATGCACCCTTAACATCCAACGCCACAGTGTGCTGATGTCACCTGTGTAAGTGTGATGTCAGACCTCACCTGCCCCCCCTCCAGGTGCTGCGGACGCTGCTCAGTCTGAGGATAAAGGAGGTGCAGGTGAAGAAGGACCTGGAGGACACAGCACCAAAGAAGAAGTTCATGAACAACAAAGAGAGGAAGAAGAACCTGTCCAGGATGCAGAGGAAGGTAAACCACACACACCTGTCTGCTGCTTCACAACAGGGAACACCTGAACACTCCTGGATTGACTGTATGTGTGTGTGTGTGTGTGTGTGTGTGTAGTGGAAGAAGGCGGAGGAGAAGTTGGAGAAGGAGCTGCTGGAGGCCGACGCCTCTGAGAGCAAAGAGAAGAAGATCAAACTGGTGAGTCACAGATCGACGCCGCCGCTTAAAGAACAAATTCTACACACAGGAAACTAAACTCCTCCTCTTCCTCCTCCTCTTCTTCTTCTTCCTCCTCCTCTTCCTCAGCACACAGAGACTCTGAACATCGTCTTCCTCATCTACTTCAGGATCTTGAAGAAGGCTCAGAAGTCAGTTCTTCTTCCTGCTGTTCTGGAGGGGCTGGCCAAGTACGACACACACACACATACACACACACACACACAGTACTGTAGATGTGCTGTAGTACTGACTGTGATGTCACTTCCTGTCAGTTTTGCTCACCTGATCAACCTGGAGTTCTTTGACGACCTGCTCAACGTGCTTCAGAACCTCATCCAATCAGGAGTGAGTATTCACCTTGACCCCGCCCTCTTAACAACCTGCTGTTAGTCCGCTGTCAGACTGATCGATTAGTCAATCAATTGATAAGTTGATTGGCATACACTGCTACATGTAGCTGCTACATGTAGCAGCATATGTAATGTTTCCCTGATGTTAGCATGTAGCTACATGTAGCAGTGTATGTCCCGAGGTTAGCATGTAGCTACATGTAGCTGCTACATGTAGCTGCTAACATCAGGGAAACATCACATACACTGATACATGTAGCTACATGCTAACATCAGGAAAACATTACATTACATACACTGCTACATGTAGCTACATGCTAACATCAGGAAAACATTACATTACATACACTGCTACATGTAGCTACATGCTAACATCAGGGAAACATTACATACACTGCTCCTGACAGACGTTTTCATACAGAACTAGTTCTATAATAACTGATGATCGTCATGTGACCTCTGCAGGATCTGACCAATCGGGAGAGTCTCCACTGTATCCAGACTGTCTTCACCATCCTGTCAGGACAAGGTTTGTGTGTGCAGGTGTGTATGTGTGTGTTTGTTAATCTGACCTGTATCAATAAAGTTTGTTGACGTGTTTCATCAGGTGACGTTCTGAACATCGACCCGCTCAACTTTTACTCGCAGTTGTACAGACTGCTGCCGCGGCTCCATGCAGGTGAGACACACTTCCTGTTTCACAGACCGACTCACAGAGCAGGAGAGTAATCTGATACTCTGATATATTACTGCAGTAACAGTATTAACACCTCAGTGTGAAAATACTTTGTTACAGGTAAAAGTCCTGCGTCTACGTACAGTTTCCATAGTAACAGTTCTCAGTGTTTCAGATTATTAGATGTGATATTATTGGATTGGTGTTTTATTGATAAAGTAAAAACTGTAAAAGTTACTGACTGATCAGATATTATATATGATATATAAATATAACAGTTTATTCAAAGCTGCTGTCTGTCTGTCCTTCTGTCTCAGGGGTGCCCAATGATGATGTCATCATCCTGCTGCGGTGCCTGGATGCCATGCTGACCCGCCGCAGGAAGCAGGTGACCCTGCAGAGGGCTATGGCGTTCATCAAGAGACTGAGCATGCTCAGTCTGCATGTGTTGCCCAATGCCAGTGTGGGGATCCTGGCCGCCAGCAGAGCCGCCATGCATGTGAGTGTGTTTGGCCAATGGAAGGCTGGAACCTGGTTTATATGTGGACTGTACAGTACCTCGGACCTGGACCTGAATCATGTCTCTGATGAAAGAGCGTCTGATCTGAAATTATACACTTGTACTTCCTGTGTGTGTGTGTGTGTGTGTGTGTGTGTGTGTTGTGTGTGTCAGGCGTTCCCTAAGTGTGACTTCCTGTTGGATAATGAGGTTCAGGGCAGCGGCTACTACCTGCCGGAGCTGGACGAACCTGAACATTGCAATGCACAGAACACAGCGCTGTGGGAACTACACACACTGCAGGTACGTTGGGAGCTGTGTGTGACATCATGCTGAGTGACATCATGCTGTGTGACATCATGCTGACATCACACTGCGTTACAGAGACATTTCCACCCGGTGGTGCGGCGAATGGCGGTCCACCTGAGTCAGGGAGCGCCCAGTGAAGGTTCGGCGTCGCTCTCTGTGGAGCTGAGCCGCAGGTGCGTCTGCAGGTGATGTCATCTTAAAGGAGCAGTACACTAATTTCATTTCCTGACATGCGACGTGTCTGTGTGTCGACTTCCTGTCCAGGTCTCCGGTGGAGTTGTTTGACGTCTACAGTGTCAGAGACATGACCTTTAACCCTCCTGTAGCTCCACCCGGCAGCAAGAAGAAGGTACACCAATCAGACGCACCTTCACACACCTCAGATCTTTACCTTTGATCAGTACGACTCATTGATTTATTGATTAACCTCACGCTCACAGTCTCAGATCTGTCCATCATGTTTTATTGATCAGGATCGTTTCGTGTTTGGAGACACGCTGCTTGATGCCGAGCTGCAGAGACAAGTCCAGAGCGCCCTGACCGTCACCAAGGAGACAGAGCTGGACTTTACTGCAAAACACACGCACATAACACACTGACATACACACGCACACACACTCACACCTTCAAAATAAAAGCCCAACATGTCAGATAAATGTTTTCTATCTCAGACGCTTTAATTTGAAATAAAGTTTTTTATCAAACTGATTCCTGTTTGTCTCAGACTGATTTATACTTAGTGATGTCATCCTTTCGACTCTACAGGAAGTTGGACAAGCTGTTCTCATTCACACCACTAGACTGTGCTCAGCTTCCTGAGGTCAGAAAGTCAAACTGTGATTCATTAATATTAATAACAGATAAAAGATGTGTCACAGTTTGAGCTTGTATTTCTACATCTTAATCTGCCGCTCAGCAGATCAGCTGCTGTCTGCCTGATGATGAAGATGATGGTGATGAAGATGATGATGATGACAGTGAGCTGCAGTTCCTGTCTGCAATGAGGATGTAAACTTTAAAACATGATGACTGATTTGTCTCTGATGTCTCAGCTGATTAATGGACATCTGTCCTGGATGGATGTCAGAGACACTGAGTGATGAAGGAGGAGGAGTCAGTTTGGGTCTTCATCTTCTCCATCATTTGTGTGTCTCTGCTGCAGTCACTAACTTCCTGTTTTTACACCTGTCCCTCTGGACTCTGAGAACTCTGGATGAGGACTGAGGACACTCAGCGTGGACCAATTGTGGATGTAGGGTTTGTTATTATCTCCTCTACGTCTTCAGGTTAGACGTTAGTCTCCCTCATTGCGGCGTCTCTGGCAGTCAGTCCACTCTGTGATGAGGCGGTGGGCAACGGCATGTTTTGGAGGTAGCCAGAGGACGGGGGCATCGCCCCTCCTCGGCGGAGTCTTCACCTGCAGGGCGGCGGTGATTTCCTCCAGACTGAACCAGCGAGCATCCTCCAGCTCTGAGTGGTCCACGTCCAACTGGAGGACAAACAGGACAGCAGGTCACATGACTGAAGACAACAGGTGGTCTCACCTGGTGTTCCTCAGGGCTCCACGCTCGGTCCTCTGCTGTTCTACACTGATCAGGGGTTCTACGCTCTGTTTCCATGAAAACCCTTAACTTTACTTGTCCATGAATTAAAAAAACAAAAACAAACTTAATTTTAAAAAGCCCTTAATCGACAAATTAAGTCAAATGCAAAGAGGACTTAACTTTGCTCTTAATTCAAATATTCATCTTTAATATTTGTCCCAACTCCATTAATGATCAATTTAAGGTGTTTTTATTATATTCAAGGGATTCTCAAAGGTCCAGCACTAAACCCTTTAACACACCCTAATTTTACTAAATTTCTTGTACTTAATTTTAAAAGCCCTTAATTAAGAATCTGAATAGATTTTAATGGGTTCATGACTTTGCTTTAAATTAATTAATGGCTTTTCTGTTCAGGGTTTTTTAAGGTGTAAAACCTTCATCATCATCATTTTTTAAGATGTAAAACCTTAAAAAAATGCCTTTAAATGCTCTGTTAGAGACATCCTTGAGTTTTCACCTTAAGGGAAAACATTAAGGCAGTTGTTAGGTGGCTTTCAAACTTTTGGTAAAAGGTTAAGGGTTAATAACTGTTAACTTTGATCTGCTTCATACCTCCTTAAATTTAAGAGGAAATGCACAGTAACCTTAAAATGTAATTAAAACATTAAAACACCTTAACTCACTGTGAAAAAGAAAAAAATGAACTTATAAAACAGCTTCAATGAGTCCTTCATTTCCTCCTCAAAAGTTTCCTCTGTAAAATCTCAGTGTCAGAACTCACCTGGGAGTGGGCGGGGTTAACAGAGGCGTGGCAGGCAATCATGAAGGAGCTATGTGGAAAAGGCCAGTGCTGCGAGGAACTGTAGGAGACACTGTGGACCTCCAGACCCACCTCCTCCGCCACCTCCCTGCTCAGAGCCTCCTCCACTGTCTCACCTGGAACACACACAGAGAGACAGGTGGACAGGTGAGACTGTAGACAGGTTATTAGACAGGTAAGTCTGTAGACAGGTGAGACTGTAGACAGGTTATTAGACAAGTGAGTCTGTAGACAGGTGATTAGACAGGTAAGTCTGTAGACAGGTTGGACCGACCCATGTCACAGAAGCCAGCCAGAGCGCTGTACATCCCTCGAGGGAAAGACGACTGTCGGCCTAACAAACACCGTTTCCCATCAGACACCAGGACGATCACCACCGGAGACATCTGCAGGAAGACCAGGACAAACCATTCAGAGACCAGGTCCAGACTGGAACCACATAGGCACCACATTACATCAAGGCAAGAGGATGGTTCAGACCTGGTCTGTAGTTGTTACCTTGGGATAGTAGATGATGCCAGAGCTGCTGCAGACTCTCTGACTTCCTGCCTGGTTGCGTTTGGTCGGCAGACCCGTGGCACTGCAGAACCTGTTGGTTTGATGCCAGTGCAGCAGAGCCTGACCCTGAAGGAACAGACCCAGAACCCGGGTCAGGATCTGAGTCTTACTTCACAGGAACATATTGGTTCAGGTGTAGTTACCCACCTTGGCCACCAGAGGCACCTCTGCTCCAGTAAGAAGAAAGAACGCCTTCCTCAAGTCGATGAAGTTTCCTCCACACTCTTCTTCTACTGCTGCCTGATCCAGTTCTCCTAGAACCCAGACCAGAACATGCAGAACCTACTGACTGGTGTATTTAGGGACTCTGAGTTCACTGATGTGTTCTTACCGACGTCCAGACAGAACTGAGCTTGGTTCTGTTCAGAGCAGCCGATCAGAACCGACTCCTTCAGCAGGGCTCTGTCAGAACCCAGTCTCTCCAGGATCGACTGCACATCTAGAACACAAAACAGAGATCAGGACTTTTTATGCCCCAAGTTCTCTGGTTGAGGCTCTACGAGGTTCTCATGTCTTCTTTTCAATTTTTCTCTCTGTGACTCTCTGACTTTAGTTACCTGCAGTGGTTCTCCTGGTTCTCATCTATTGGTTTTTCAACTGTGGCCCACAGTTCTCTGCCCGTGGTTCTTTATCTTTGGTTCTGTACCTAATGTTCTCCTCTTGGGACTCTCGAGCTGTTACTGTTCCCTTGGTCCTCTAACTGTGGTTCAGCAGATGAAGTTCTCTACTTGTGGCTTTCAGCTCTCTGTACTTGAGGTTCTCCACCTGTGGCTCTGTATCTCTGGTTCTCTAACTGTGGCTCTCATCCCTTGGTTCTGTATTTGAAGTTGCAGGGTTCTGTATCTTTGGTTCTGTACCTTAGGCTCTGTAGTTTAAGTTATCTACCTGTGGCTTAAGTTCCCTACACGTGGTTCTGTCCCTGAGGTTCTGTACCTGAGGACCTGAGGTTCTGTACCTGAGGTGATCAGTGCTGCAGGTCTGAAGGTTCCCTGCTCGGTGCGTTGCAGCAAAGGAGACAGACGGTGGAACAGGAACATGTGAGCGTTCGGTAGAGCTGCGGCGCACGAGTCATCATCCTCCTTCAGCCTGTTCATGTACCTGAGAGAACGGGTCAGTCAGTCAGATGATTTATCAGTCTATCAATCAACCAATAAATAAATCAAAGTCTCTCTGAGTTACTGAACCTTATCCTGGAGACAAAGCCTGAACAGCAGCGAGTGGCCAGACATGTTGTAGAGAGGAGGATCTTCACAGGTCTCAGCATGGTCTGTTAGCCTAGCTTAGCACAAAGACTGGAGGCAGAGGGAAACTGTTAGCCTAGCTTAGCACAAAGACTGGAGGCAGAGGGAAACTGTTAGCCTAGCTTAGCACCTGATTGAAAGCAGAGGGGAAACTGTTAGCCTAGCTTAGCACAAAGACTGGAGGCAGAGGGAAACTGTTAACCTAGCTTAGCACAAAGACTGGAGGCAGAAGGAAACTGTTAGCCTAGCTTAGCACAATGTCTGGAGACAGAGGGAAACTGTTAGCCCAGCTTAGCACAATGACTGGAGGCAGAAGGAAACTGTTAGCCCAGCTTAGCACAATGACTGGAGGCAGAAGGAAACTGTTAGCCTAGCTTAGCACAATGTCTGGAGACAGAGGGAAACTGTTAGCCCAGAGACAGACAGACAGACAGGAAACTGTTAGTCTAGCTTAGCACAATGTCTGGAGACAGAGGGAAACTGTTAGCCTAGCTTAGCACAAAGACTGGAAGCAGAGGGAAACTGTTAGCCTAGCTTAGCACAAAGACTGGAGGCAGAGGGAAACTGATAGCCTAGCTTAGCACAAAGACTGGAAACGGAGGGAAACTGTTCGCTTTTATAAGCAACGGGAGTTAAGTGTCCATGTGTGGAGAGACAACAGTGCCGAACCCCCTTTAAAAATCTAGTATTTTACATTTTGTTTTGTTTTTATAGCATTGTTTACTCATTATTAAGTAATTTCAGGTTAATATCTGAATCTTAAGTTTCCAGTTGTCATTTCGGCGCTCACTGAACCACTCTGGCTGCTCTTATTTTAACAGAAATACAAACCATATGCTGTTAGAGATGGTGAAATCTTCCTCCAGCACACACTGAATCCTGCAGCACACTCTGTTTTAACCTGAGCTTTGTGGTGGAGCAGGTGTTTGCTGACGTCACAGCAGACTGTCCGGATTCTAAATACTATTCAAAGTTTGTTCGGAGTTTTTACCGAAAACAAGAGAATCATTAAGTCAGATTCTGAATGAAGGTTGGAATCAAATAAAGTCCAAAAACAGACTCAGACACAGACCGCTGAACTACAGGCTGATGGATGCAGTATTAAGGACCTGTGTCTGTGTGTGTGAGTGTGTGTACTGTGAATACTATACTGTGTTAGTTCTGTATGTGGTGTTAGTATTTGTCAGATACCTGCAGCTGCCTCGCTCCTTCACGCTCTGTGACCTTTCACTCGTCTTCTTCTGCTGCTGTTATTCGGCAGCTGACCTGTTGTCGCCCCCTGCAGGAAAAAACCAACTGATTTAAACAAGAAAAATATTAAAAGAATTTAACGAGTTGTTTAAGAGAGATTATATAATGTGCTAATGTATCAATATCTATTCTTTTTTACTGTCTTTTAATTCAGACTTTTATTAGTAATTTACAATAATGATAAAATAGACCTATTTTATAAATAATGTTTATCATAATAACATTATTTATTTTGGTGGGTTAATAAATTAAACGCCTTTTTCTTAACTTCATTCACAAATTTGAGGATTTTATCAATAACTTACAGATTTCTGTTTTAAGAATAAAAAAACACTGTGATAATAACTTTTATTAAGTTATAATAACTGTTTCATCCAAATGAGATATTAATTTAGGCAGAATATGTATCTATAATCTGACGTTAGAAAGAAATACTGAATCAAATGGATACGTTTTAAAACTGAAGCTTCAGAGACAAAAAGATAAAACATATACAAATGTTTATAATAAAATAATAAAATAGATTTTAAAAAGTGTAAGAACGGGTTTTATTTGTCATTTAAGCGTCACAGCGGGTCAGAAATAATAATCCTGTTAAACAGAAGATGGGATGGAAAGCTGGTTTGTGCCTACAGCTGTGTACAGCGAAGGACTACAATTCCCAGCAGGCCGTTCGGCTTCACACATGTGTCGGAAACCCGCGTGCAGCAGCAGCAGCAGCAGCAGCAGCATCATGTCTGTGTTTATGGATCTGAACCTGAACTACACGGCGGATCAGACCCGCCTGCAGAGTCTGATCCAGACCGCAGCTCACCGTGAGTCTCCTCAGCTTCACCCCGCAGACAGCAGCTCCTCAGCGGGCAGTCAGAGTCCACAGGGCCGGGAGCTAACAGCTAGCACCGGAGCTAAGCTCTGAGTATTATGGGGTCTGTTTGGGTTCAGGTTGTTCTGTAACAGGTGATGACTCACCTGCTGCATCAGACTGGTGCTTATCTCACCGTTAAATACAATGATAGAGCTACAAACTACCGACACACTCTGGACCAGACTCCGTTTGAAAAGTTGTCATTTTAAAGTTTCACTGCGTCCTGATGAAACCACCCGTGTCACGTGATTACTGTCAGTAAACACGTTGGCTTATTAATGTACTATATATTTATTCGTTCATTACGTTACAGGTTTGTTTAAAGAATCTGTTTCTACCTGCAGACAGGTAACAAACCATCAGACCAGAGTCCGTTTGAAAATCGCTCCATTTAAAGTTTCCATTGTTATTAATAAATATAGAATTGAAATAAGTTATAACTGAAGACATCCTGAAAACAAATATGATCCCGCGACAAATTCGTCCATCAACATGAACCTATAAATTCCAAATTAATTTAATAAACCTAATATTTTATATAAGGTCTTAGTGTTCTAGAAGGTAAAAATACCACCAGACCTGATTGAAATAGATAAACAGTGCAGGTGATGTGTTGGTCTGTTTAGTCTGCAGGTAATCAGATTGATTAATTAATCAGTTTATGATAGATTTAATGAGTGAAAACAGTTCATTGATTAATGAGCTCAGGGAACCTGCTGAAACCTCTTCACCAAACTCCATTCAAAAAGTTGTCATTTTAAAGTTCCCCTGTTGCTGGTCAAAGAACAGGACGTCTGAAAACATTTAAAACATTGAAATGTTAAAATAAAACCTAAGTTGATAAACATATAAATACATATAGCTAATTTATTAAATTATAATGTAGTCCTGAGGATCCAAATGTAATGTAAGCAACACAAATAAATCAACAAACTGTAGATGGTAAAAACTTGTCAGAACAATAATGATATTAAAATGATTTGACACAGGGATGATCAGTGGTCAATATTAAGATGAAGATGATGAGTTTTGTGATGATGTGACTTTTAGCTGTGAGTCTGTGTCGTCTTCTTCCTGCAGTCGGTTTCTCCACAGTCGCCATCAACTACGTGTTCGAACCGACGGTCAAAAAGAAACAGGTCAGTCAGCTCGGCATTAAATTTAAAATGATGTCAGTTAATGTTTGATGTGATTAATAGAAGTCTGAAGACATGAGTGTGAGTTGTCACAGTTGTTGGTATTTTACAGGCAATCTGAATCATGGATCCACCATCAGTGTCACTTTTATTTTGTAACTCTGTCTTTACTTCCTGTTTGCAGGAGATCCCTGTCCCCAAACCGATCAATGAGCTGATAGATCAGCTGCCGGTCGTACAGGTGGGTCTGATGAAGATGAGGATGATGGTGACTGTTTGTGTCGTCGTCATGGTAACGTGTCTCTGTCTGTCTCAGGGTCGGTCCCGTCCAATCAGAGTGCTGAACAGGCTGACCGTGGTGATGTCAGACTCCAGTCACTTTGTGAGTGTGGATTTTATTTTGGAAACTTTCACGTCGGCTGCTTTCAGTGTTTCCGCTTCACTTAACTTACAGACAGGACCCACAGCGCTATGACCCCACACAGCCTGTGACTGACCTCAGCTGACACCTCGGTCACCTGTAACAGGTTTCATGTGCGGAGGATGTTGCTCAGTAAAACTGACCTTCACAATAAAAGCACTGGGGGTTCAGACAGAGCGACAGTTAACCGTTAATCTGGTGGTTATTCTCTCCATTATTTGATTGATTGTTTTCCTAAATGTCAAAAACATCCCAGAGAATATTAAACAGTTTGTTTCTGTGTGTGCTGAAAAAATAAACTTTAGAATGAATTAAAATAGTTATATTATTTATAGTAGTTATAGAGTGACAAATAAGAAACTGACGAAGCTCTGGTGACAATATCAGTTATTAATATTTAGTTTATGTAAGAAGGGACAGAACACATTAATAAATACATGTGGTATAAAAATGCCAGAATGGATCCAGGACGGACAGACATGCAATAGATGTCGTACAGAACAGATCAACATCATAAATGTACAGTAATCCATATGACACAATGAGACAGAAAAGAGAGACAGAGACAGAGAGAGATGCAGGATAGACAGTAATGACAGTAGCTTACAACAACATTAATTTAAGTAATAATATTATAATAATTACAGCTATTGTGGTACAACAAGTTGTAGGTATATGTTAATAGCCCAGTTAGTGACATGCAGTAACATGACATTAGTGTTGGCAAAGGAGAGAAAGAGAGAGAAGGAGAGAAGGTGCCCGGTGTATTATAGGAGATCCCCTGGCAGACTAGGCCTAAGTCAGCCTAACTAGGGGCTGGTACAGGGCAAGCCTGAGCCAGCCCTAACTATAAGCTTTATCAAAGAGGAAAGTCTTAAGTCTAGTCTTAAATGTGGAGACGGTGTCTGCCTCCCGGACCGTAACAGGAAGATGATTCCACAGGAGAGGAGCCTGATAGCTGAAGGCTCTGGCTCCTGATCTACTTTTGGAGACTTTAGGGACCACGAGTAACCCTGCGTTCTCAGAGCGCAGTGTTCTGGTGGGATAATATGGCACTATGAGCTCTCTAAGATATGACGGAGCTTGACCATTTAGAGCTTTATAAGTTAACAGTAGGATTTTAAATTCAATTCTGGATTTTACAGGGAGCCAGTGCAGAGAAGCTAAAACAGGAGAAATATGATCTCGTTTCTTAGTTCCTGTTAGTACACGTGCTGCTGCATTCTGAATTAGCTGGAGAGTTTTTAAGGACTTACTAGAGCTACCTGATAATAGAGAGTTACAGTAATCCAGCCTTGAGGTAACAAAAGCGTGGACCAATTTTTCTGCATCTTTTCGGGTCAGGATAGGCCTAATTTTCGCAATATTACGCAGATGAAAAAATGCAGTCCGTGAGGTTTGTTTTAAATGAGAATTAAAAGACAAATCTTGATCAAATATTACTCCGAGGTTTCTTACGGTAGTGCTAGAGGCCAGAGCAATGCCATCTAGAGAAACTATGTCATCAGATAAAGAGTCTCTGAGTTGTTTGGGGCCAAGAACAATAACTTCAGTTTTGTCTGAATTTAACATCAGGAAATTGGTGCTCATCCAAGTTTTTATGTCTTTAAGGCAGTTATGGAGTTTAGTTAATTGATTACTTTCTTCTGGCTTCATCGATAAATACAACTGAGTATCATCCGCATAACAATGGAAATTTATAGAGTGATTTCTAATGATGTTACCTAAAGGAAGCATATATAGAGTAAATAGGATTGGTCCGAGCACAGAACCTTGCGGAACTCCAAAACAAACTTTGGTACGTAAGGATGATTCATTATGAACGTCAACAAACTGAAAACGATCAGATAAATAAGATTTAAACCAGCTTAGTGCAGAACCTTTTAGGCCAATTAAGTGATCCAGTCTCTGCAGTAGAATTTGATGGTCAATTGTGTCAAACGCCGCACTAAGATCTAATAAAACAAGTACAGAGACGAGTCCTTTGTCTGAAGCAATCAGAAGGTCATTTGTAATTTTAACTAGTGCTGTCTCAGTGCTATGATGCACTCTAAATCCTGACTGAAATTCCTCAAATAAATTATTATCATGGAGAAAATCACACAGCTGGCCTGCGACTACTTTCTCAAGGATCTTTGACATAAAGGGAAGATTAGATACTGGTCTATAGTTGGCTAACACCTCTTGATCCAGGGTGGGCTTTTTTAGGAGAGGTTTAATTACAGCTACCTAAAAAGACTGTGGTACATAGCCTGTTAATAAGGATATATTGATCATATCTAATATATGAGTGTTAACTAAAGGTAAGACCTCCTTAAGTAGCCTAGTTGGGATGGGGTCTAAGAGACACATTGATGATTTAGATGAAGAAATCATTGAGGTCAGTTGTTGAAGAGAAATCAGGGAGAAGCTATCTAAATGTATATTAGATCTTA